TACTTAAAGTAAAAAGTCAATTTCTATAAATTAAATCTAAGGTCTATATGTTGTACTCAAACATAATTCTAAAATGAGTACACGTTTAGTTGGGAAGATTAATTATATTTCTTTTATGCCAACCATAACTATAACTCCCAATATATATTATATTTCATTATCTGCAATGTCTAATATTTAGAGGAACTACGAAAGAAAAATCAAAGAACACATGTATTTTGTGGTCGGAATCTTACCGTACAAATGATAATATCAGTTAAAACTTTGCGAAATATATTCAAGGAAATTCTGGTAACAATTGTGGTCTATATTATATATTATATATCTCTATCTACTTCAATTTTTAATTTCATTAATAGATACAAGCTGACTTAAAGTTTAATAGATGTAACCACCATGGTACAGCCATTGCATCCATATGCCGTACACGAGTATATTATCACTAGTTAATAATCATATTGGTAGCTTCAAATCAGGAAAAGACATCTCATTAGTCATTATGGATAAATTTATATAAGCAATCTCATATGACACGGACTTTTATATATTGTAACCATACCATTTGTGCCCCCATGTACACATTGATGCTTATGGAGGGTTTTCTCAAAGAAAATCGAATTAATGAAACAAAGAAACTTTGAATGAAAAATGCGACGGTTACAAATTGCATAAATTACATGGACCCTCAAAAAGAATGTAAATGAAATTTTGATTTGAGAGAAATCAATCTATATATGCACTTTATTAGTAGAAAAATATAGAATTACATTAAAAGTATATATAATACATGGAAAAGGTGGGAAGTTTAAGGAGGGCATTACTCTAAGCACATTTGTTTTGGCATTGACTTTTGAACGTAAGACAAGCCTCATGGCCGGCCGGTTATCACCGTTAATCAAGAGTCAAGACACATGAACATTACTTCGATTTATTTTAGTATTTGATAACCCAATTAAATTTACTTAAATCCACTGTGTTATATATATGCTATACAATGTCGTTCATCAAAAGCTTGAACTGGAGTTTTATAACTTAAATTTTAAATATTATAGAGGTTAAACTAATAATAGGTGTACATTAATAATAATCCCCATACCGAAGTCATACTAATTTCCTAAATCTGTAAAGAAAAACTGACTACTCTTGTCATTTAATACGTTTATAATACCATCATGATTAAAATCATAATAAGAAGACTTAAACATTGGTCTTCCAACCCATAGTGAATTTTGTTACAAAATAATATAATAATACATTATAATACGAAATATCACCACATATAGTTTCCCACTATGATAGATTCTGAGTTTATTTATAGCACACTAGATTGTGATTGGTTAGAGAACTTGAACTGCAATTAATCGTTTATAAGTTGTTCGATGTATGGCTACATATTTGAGTGTTTAAAAGTAGTATGAAGTATATGTCTTATTCATGCAATAGAGCCAACATTTTTAATTCAGTTTTGTTTGAATAACGCAACCCAATTGCCCACTTAACTATAATACACGTTTTTATAAATGATGCTAATTGTAATGTGATCCCCAAGTGTTGCAATTGGGTTGAGTAATAAATAGAAGTGGGCAAATGGTTAGTCAGTTCATTCATTCTAATTAGCTATTCAAATATTTTTCAACAAGATTATGTTTCAAATGTCAAAACCAACAAAATGAGAGCTAGTGTGGTTGTTGCAAATGCAACTTGGTGGTGATACGATCAGTGACAACCTAACACGACTCCATCGGTTTGATATCAAATACCTCACGTAACCCGCCGATTATTCACCTGTCTTTATTATTTATTTCCATTTTCAGTCATATTGAGCCTGATTAATAACTAAAAGTATTACAAAACACAACGTATATAGTCTATTTGCAACGAAAAGTATTCTTCTTTCTCTCTGTAACTATAATGTCATACAGATTTGGCCCACGAAATTTTTTGTAGATGTTTTTAGACCCGTTTCAAAAATAAAAACATGTCGGGAAGCACAAAAATATGGTCGTGTGACGTTGATCAATCGATAAAGAGTACTCTTAAATTTACTAATAAAAGTCTTGATTTATTCATTTTACGATATTGTATTTTTAATGGACACAAAAATACATGGATTAACAAAACTAGAAACACATGGAAATTTAGATAAGCACTATGCATGACAGCATACCAATTTTTATTTTGTTTGAACACTCACACAAACAATTGCCAATTTCTAACTGATTTGGGAGAACTTGAAGAAGATAAAATAACGGGAGAACAACACACGATATAACGAGACCCCTTCTGTGAATCTGTGATTTATTGTCCATCTTGATGGAATCCGACACCCCAAGCATACTCCACTATAAGCTTATAACCGTAAAAATAAAATACCACAAGATCTGAACTGTTACAATATACAAAATTTTCTAAAAAGAATAATAAGAAGAAACCAACTTACGTAAGGCTAGATATAGCAAGAAGAAAATAGACGTAAGAGAATCATATTCGATTTTTATCGTTTATGGCTTGGTGTCCTTTAATTTAGATGTTCTATGTAACTTTGTTAAAAACAGAAAAGAAGAAGTAACTTTTACTCTTTTGTAGCATGGCTCAAAGATATATTAATTTAAATACAAATTTGTTTTTTCTCATAGATTCTTAATCAAGTAACATAAATGAAAAATACAAGTATATATTTACTTTTAATCACTGATATGACTATAATATTACAAAAAAAAAAAAAACACGCGTCGAGAAAATATATAAAAACAACATTTCAATGAATATTAGTGGTTCTATACAATTTTTATCAAATATATATATATATATATATATATATATATATATATATATATATATATTTAAAAATCCACGCGTCCCGGTGTTCAAAAACCTAGTAACTACTGTAAATCTTTGAACAAACACATATGTGCCTTTATTATTTCAATAGATTTTATAATTAAAGGTATACCATATAATAGGACTAATTAAAACTAATAAAAGATTAATTATTGTAAACTTATAACAAAAATGTTGAACTTCACAAAGATATGGAAGAAGAAGATGCAATTATTATATATAAAAATAACTATATACAAATACCTAGAATGATCCAAAAATATATAAAAAAAACACATATGGGTTTTTTCTTTTCATATTTTAATAAATTTTACAATTAAAGGTTATACCGTATAATAGCGTTAACATTAATAAAAGATTAAGTATTTCAGACTTATAACAAAAATGTTAAAATTCACAAAGATATGGAAAAGATGCAATTATGATATATAGAAATATAGCTATACAAAGATCTAGGACGATCCAGAATGTGTTATAGAGATATACTAAATACTAGATTTGAACCCGCGGTACACCGTGGGGCTATAAATTTTTTTAAAAAATCTAAATATAATTAGTTTTGTTTATTAATAGAGAGTATAATAAAATATTTCGACTTATTTTATAAATGTACCATCCATATATCTATATTAATAATTTTGAGTATATTAATTGTGTTTTAGGTTTAAATGGTATATCTATATATACACTTAAACGACATTCGGCTTTCTTCTTCTTCTTGCCTCAGTTTAGGAGAAATATTTTTCTTGCGGTACACCGCGGAGCTATTATTTTTTTTTAAAAAAATTTCTCCTTAAACTTCCAAATCTAGATTTTACCCCGCGGTACACCGCGGGTCAATTTTTTTATAACTAAAAAATTATTTTGCAAAATTTTAAGTTGTATTTGTTTTGTTAATATTGTTTATTTTGTTTAGTGTTTATGATTTTATAATTAAATTTTGATTTTTAATTCTAGGATTTCATCCATAGTATATTGTTTAATATTAATATTGATCTAAACCCGTTGCACCATATAACCTCGTCCCGTAAAATTAAACATCATTTGTTATTTTTTTTGAATAATATTTTTATCCACTACGGGTTGCAGGTTCATGCGGATAAGCCCGTAGAAAGTTGCGGGTTTGCGGATCCACCCGCCAAAAGAGAAGCTATCTTTTGAAACCCTTTGTTTTGTTTAGAGGTTTTAAGAAAATATCTAGGCCTGGGCATTCGGGTACCCATTCGGGTTCGGTTCTTTTTTTTCGGGTATCGGGTCTATTCGGGTAGGGGGTCAAGACCCATTCGGGTATTCTAAAAATTCGGTTCGGGTTCGGTTCGGGTTCGGATCGGTTTGGGTATTTTAATAAAAAAGCAAAATATCCGAAAATAACCAAAAATACCCGGAATATTTTCGGGTTCGGGTCGGGTTTGGGTTTTTAACTCATATATACCCAAATCTAACCGAAATACCCGATTTTTCGAAAATACATTGGTTACTCTTTACCCAAATATAACCAAAAATATCTAAAATACCTAATATATTCGGTTTTATGATTGTAATTTTAGGTATTTCGGGTATTATAAAAATAAAAATAACTAATATTTTTAGGTGTATATTTGTATTCGGGTACATTCGGGTATATCCCTAAAAAATAATTTTCATTATATGAAAAAAAGAAGTAGAAGAAATTGTAGTATCAACATTCCCGATTTTTACATCACTTTTATTTTTTTTTTGTCATCTGGATTTATTATTTATTGCAAATTCTGAGAACTGTTATAATTAATTTTTTTTTTGCAGATAAAAATCAGAAATTAACTAAGTCGAGATTTTTAAAAAGATTGTGTAGAGATTTTTGGTAAATTGTTGAGAACATATTTGATTTCAGAATCTTTACTTAAATAGATAAGGAAAGATTTTGTAGAGACTTTTGCTAAATATATGAGAAATGAATTTCAATTAAAAATCTTTACTTAAATAAAACAAATCTAAATAATTAATGCTAGTGGCATGTCATTGTAAATACTTGTCAACTTCAGGATTTATTTGCTAGTTGTGATCCAAAAATGTATATATAGATTTGTTAATACAATTAATATTATGGAAATTTATAAGAAAGACCTAGAATGTTCCAAAATATAGTATAGACCTAAGTCTCCACTATATATACGTATCCCATCCCATATTCTAAGAAAAACAAAACCCTAGTTTTCTTGTTCTCTTGCTCCGCCGTGGTTATCTTTCTCAGACGTTCTCATCGCTCATACTGATACCATGGCCGCCGTAGAAGGACCAATCTTGGCTCTCATCAGCAAACGTCTCCGTACTCTCCGCAAGAAATACAACCGTATTACTGACATGGAAGAGTCGATTTCTCAGGGAAAAACACTAAACAAGGAACAAGAAGAAACCCTCCGTTCAAAGCCAATCGTCACCGCCCTTATCGATGAGCTCATAAATCTCCGCATCCCTCCTCCTTCCGTGGCAGAAGAGATCAATCTCCCTGCTAAGGACAAGAAAAAGCAAAAGGTATTCACTTAATTTTCTCTAGGGTTTTAATTAGCCGCATCGTAATAACATAATAAATCTAAATCTAATACTTTCCTTCCTAGGCACGTAAGGAGGTGGCTGAGGAGGAAAACGTAACGGCCAAGACAGATATCGAGGATTGCAAGATCTCTGATGGTCTCAATTCTGATGAGGTTTCCAAGGACGACACTTCTCCTAGTAGCGAAAGCTCAGAAGGTGTTACGCCATCGCCCCTTAGCAGAAAGGCACGACGTAAACGGAACGCGAAGAAACGTCAGACTCAGCAGCGATTGTGTCTCCAAACTTCTGTGTGTAGCGGAAGTTTTGGCAAAGAAAAAGTAAAGGGAATTGCTTTTGACACAAGGAGCTAGGGCTTTTGCGTTTGAGTTTTTCCTACTATCTTTGATTCATTTAGATAGACCATGTGGAATTTATTTCTATAAACTTTTTTTATTAATTAACAAAAACAAAACCAATGCAATTTATATTATTCTATATTATTTATGCTTTATCGTTTGCTTTACTTAATTCTCGTGATGCAAGATTGAAGATTATATTGTTTAAGTTCATCTCACACTAAAGATGGATGATTTCCTTGACAAAAGCTCTATAAAACTCTTAACCTCCGAATCCATTGTATGTTTATTTAATTTGATGAAGTATCGAACTATGTCTCTAGTCGTAAATTCAAATTGAATCATTACTGTTCTTGAGATACATGTACAATAATCATTACTGTTATAAAAAAAAAATACAAGTTTCAACATGTATGGGATTCGAAACCATGACCTGTATAACAAAAGCTGTTATAAAAAAAAAATTACAAGGTTAGTTTTAGGGGCTTCAGGTCATGGTTTCGAATCCCATACATGTTGAAACTTGTATTTTTTTTTTATAACAGCTTTTGTTAATGGGCCAAAAAATTTTTTGCTTTAGGCACTCAAATAGTTTGGGCCGGCCCTGACTCTCACTAGCAGCTACGTCGTTGGCTACTGCAGCAAATTCATCTGTATCAATAACTTGAGAGATGGCATTTGGATCAATAACATCGTCTTTCTCTAGTTGTTGGGTGATCTCCAACGTTCTTGGTGATATCCCTTGGGAAGAATCTATACCACACTATTCAATAGATAAAGAAACAATAACTAAACTTAGAATCAAGAACCAACAACAGAGGAAAAAACTAGTACAATATATTATCTTAGTAAATGGTTGTAGATAATTATGTATCATCATATCACATATTCAATGAATCATTGGTGGATTCATATTTGTCTAAAATATGTTAAAGATGATTAGAATAGAAGGTGAAACCTGTTGAGTCCATGTTTGTGAATCTTGTGAGTTTTGAGTGTTGGCTAAAACTACTGATTCTTCCTCAACATTAGCTCTATTTTTGTATTCTTGGGACGATTCATCATAGAAATCTTTCAATAACTCATCTCGTGGTGAGTAATTACCATCTTGGACTTGCAGAAATGTCACATCACTAGCGTTTTCTGCGTTTCCATAGACCTCAGCATTCGCTCTATTTTTGTATACTTCAGAAGATTCACCGTAAAAATCTTCCAATAACTCTGTTTTTTCTCCTTCCTTAGAGACCTCCTGATCAGTTGACTCATCTAGTGGTGAGTTATTACTATCTTGAACTTGCAGAAGTATCACATCACTAGCATTTTCTTCGTTTCCATAATCTTCAACCAACTGTGTATGAGCATGGCTCGAAGATTCTTCCACCACATTATGAGTTTTCTCTTCTTCTACTGACCTTGGTTTCTCTTCTTCTTCTAATTCCTGACCATTCTCTTCCATAATCTCACTTACTAGTAATTCTGTAAGAACTTGGCATGGAGAACTCTCTAAATCACTTTGATGTACCTCATTTTCTGTTTGTTTTGTTGTTTCCTTAGTAAGCTTGTCTAAGTTTGATTCTTCTTCTCCTTCTAACTCTCTCTCAAATGATTCTATATAGGATGTGTCCAAAGAAGCATCCAAAAAGCTCTTAGTTTCCCCATGTTCTCCTTGAATGCTACTCAGCATTTGGTCTTTCTGCTGATGATCAATGATATCTAAATCAATAATCTTAGGAGATCCACAAAGATCATCATTTTCTACTTGTTTCACATCAGCCACTTCTTCATCAATCAATTTCTTCATGGATGAATCCAGAGTAGTCAGAGGTCTCTGGTCAGTAAGTTCTTCAGTCAAATTATTCAGATTCTCCGAGTTGCCCCCATCGATCGAGTCCAAGATTGTTTCAGGCTCTTCTGTTATAGACGACAATGACGCACTTGTATGGAACAACATACCTTCAAATTTCCCAGAGCTTGTAGGCTTGGACACATCATTGGAACTAGAAGGTGTCTGCTCAAAAATCTCTTCGGTTTGGCTTCTTCTTTCTAACAATGACAAATCATCATCAACTGTTATAAGGTTTTCATCTACCACACAATTCTGATTTGGTTTGGCCTCAGGTTTAGTCCATGTCTCATTATTCTCCTCTTTTGATCCTATTCCACTTCTTGATTCATACTGGTGAGAGATCCTCTTACGTGATTCTTCATCGCGGACGATTTCTCTGTCAATATCTGTATCATAAATGTAAGATTCACCGCCATTAGACCAGTCATCAAGCCAATCAACTGTTGTAGGAGGTGAACCAATCTCTGAAACCTCAACTTGCATATCCGAGGCAACTGAAAATGTTCGACTGTGCGAATTTCCGCATTTTCGAGCATAAAACATGTTGTTATCATCTAGTCTTGGCGCTACTAAACCTCTAGGCAATGTGGTTGGAATACTATTTCTTGTTTGGTTCACAAGATAACCGGGATTGTTATCCATCGATTGGCATATAGCTTCCCTGAGCTCGGCTTTGTTTAAACGGCTGAGTTCTGACTCACTTTCTTCTGAACAACTTGAATCATCACATTCTTCTTTGTTTGAATCTGTCTCATTATCATTCATTTCTACCTCCCTTTCTTCGCTTTTTCCACTCACAACGCTTTTATCGTCGTCTTCTATTGTAGCTCCCTTTCCATTACATGGGAGATTTTGTTCAGTATGATCCATATATTCATTGTCCAAATCTGTAGACAAAAAAGTACATTATTCACAGAGCAAAAATACAAACACCAAAATTTAACAACCAGAAAATATTAGACCTTGTACCTAAACGTTTCCTAGTAGTTGAAATGTCTGAAGCAGAAACTGGGCTGTTCATACATTGAGCATGTTCTGGTGAAAACAGAGCAAAACGACAGAAGCTCTCATGACGACAAAAGAACATATCTTTCTGATTAAACAATGAAAATTCTTGATCAAAGCTATCTCCAGTAAGATTAGGTCTTTCTTCTTGAGGATCATAAGGTATGTCAAAAGGGTTTCTTCCTTGTAACAACACAGAAGGAGCTGAGCCTGGAATCGGTAATCCTTTAACAGTAGTACCATCTGATGAATTATTTCGACGTTTTTCAAGTGAGTTCCTCGAAACCGTAACGTGAAGGCTGTTGGTGTTGTTCTGTCTAGGGCTAGTTGTTTCTTCAGCTTGAAGCTTATTCCTTTGATCTAAAGCTAGTCTAAAGAGTCTCCTCGCTCTTCTTCTAGCTATTAAGCTCTCTAGTCTCTTATTTCTCTCAATCTCTGAAATCCCCTGCTCATTAACATTACTCATCTCCTCTTTCATCTCTTCTTTACCATCTGATTCTCCATATTTGATCTCACAGTTGCAAACCATTGGTTCTTCAACGTTAAGTTGACCTAAATCACGAGAATCTTCCTCTCCAAGAAACTCCTTCTCATTGTTTTCTTCCTCTACTACATTGGTTTCTAAAGCTTTTGGAGACTCCTCGAAATGAGGAGTACGACCAAGGAGGTCATTGTAAAGAGAAGTCAAGATAACTTTGTCTTTCTCTTCCTCGCTTGTTTGTGAATCCCATTCTTCAACTTTCATTCGAGCATTTCGTCGGACACTTCGTTGTTGTTTTAAATGACATCTCTTTTCTCCACCACAACTCTTCTTTGGCTCTGAATACGAACTTGAGAATCTTAATCCTAGCTTTTCTCGTGCATACACTAGAGCACATGCAAGAACCGGTGACGAGTAAATCAAGAAGAACAAGAGAGTAGGGAGGAAAATGTATAGCACAAGTAAAAACATTGAAACCCTTGACAATATTGGGTGGTTTCTCATGAATTTGATGCTCATGTTCATCGAATATCCAAGAATTTTCCATAATATTACGATGATCTCTTTCGCGGCAATGCCCATTTTCCATATAATCAAAAGATGAAATCAACTGAAACAAGATCTTTTTTTCTTTCAAAGATCTAGCAAAGAATTTGGCATCAAGGAAAAAAAAAATTGATAAATGGAGTTTCCAAATTTAGAGAAGATATATCGTCTGGAGATCCTATGTTTCAGGATGTTAAACTTTTCTAAATTTTTTTCTTTTTATTTTCTCCTGTTTATTTGTCACAAGAGGGAATTAAAACGACAAAACAGAAAACAAGTTTGGTTTTGTTAACGAGAGAGTTTTTTTTTTTGTGTAACGAATCTATTTTTCTGGTATTAAG